TGCAGCATCTGCGGTGTGGACGGCTTCCCTAGGGCCAGGCTTCTGGGGTGCGAATGGATTCTCCTGCACCTGGAACCCTGCGTGAACAGTTCCTGCAGCACTAGGCCCTTGTGCCAGCTGCCCCCACTGCCCTCTGTGTCCAGCTGTCCCTCACACCCAGCTGACCCCACTGCCCCCACTGCCCCTGCGCCCAGCTACCCACCACGCCCAGCTGCCCTGTGCCTGGCTGTCCCCATACCCAGCTGCCTGGCTGCCTCCCATGCCCAGCTGTCCCCCACTGCCCCTGCACCCGGCTGCCCAGCTACCTCCTGTGCCCAGCTGTCCCCCCCGCTAAACCCACTCCCAGCTGCCCCACACCTGGCTGCCTGTCCCACCCAGCTGACCAGCTGCCCCCGTGCCCAGCTGCCCCCCACTGCCCCCACTCTCAGCTACCCCAGGCCTGGCTGCCTGCCCCACCCAGCTGCCCGTGCCCGGCTGCCCCCTGCACCCAGCTGCCATAGCATGCACTGCCCCCCACACGCAGCTGCCCCCCTGACAGCTTCTCCAATGCAGGTGTGGCTTTCAGGGCACAGCCACCAGCAGCCCCTCACAGCCAGCGGCCCCTGGGCCTCTCCAAGGTGGTTTGGCAGTAGAGCACTTCCACCCAGATACCTCCCTGTGTGCACTATAGACTTTAAACTGCCAGCAAATTCTAGAAAGCAGGTGGCTGGAAAGTTCTGGAAAGCTTCTGAGGCTGGACTTCCAGCAAGGTACACTAGGATGGCACTCTCCTGAGCCCTCTGCTGTTCAGCAGCTCTAACCCTGACCCTCTCCAACAAGTCCAGACAGAGCTTGTCCTGGAGAAAGGAAAGGTGGGGTGTGCCCTGGGCTCTTCATCTCAGACCTGGGAGTCAGGGTCGCATCTCCCATCTGCTATTCTCTAGAATTTTCTTTCTTACTCGCCAGTTCCTCATTACCTCAATCTTCTGTTACGGCTCATGATGCTTTAAGTTAAACTTTCCTCTTCAGATTACTGTGTGGTTTCTGTGTCCTAATTGGGGGCTGACTAGTACACTCTTCCTCCCATATTTTAAATTAACAGCTAAAAATTCTTAGAAAATTAAATAATTATAAAATATTAATTTTCTGGTGTTGATATACTGTATACATCCTTAAAAAGTGTACTGTCAACACATTAAGGGCAAGGCCATTGTGGAGGCTCATGTCTGTAATCCCAGCACTCTGGGAGGCCTAGGCTGGTAGATTTCAAGACCAGAGTGAGCAAGAGCAAGGCCTAATCTGTTCTCTACAAAAAGTAAAAAAACTAATTAGCCTAGTGTAGTGGTGGGTGCTTATAGTCCCAGGTACTAGCAGGCTGAGGCAAGAGGATCACTTGAGCCCAAGAGTTTGAGGTGGTTGTGACCTATGACTCCACGGCATTCTACCCAGGACCATCTAATGAATAGAGAAGCCTACCACATTAGTTAATTTGCAAAGCCAGTCCACAGTCAAATCAATCCACTAAATCAGACTTATAGATTAAATACCTTTATTTCATTTTTTTATTTGAATAAACATGTTGATACATGTTCTCATGGCCACTTGATCACTTAAGGAATGGGCAGAAAATGACAGCCAGGCAGCAGAGGGAGATGGACAGGCAGATGGGGTGGACGGGGCCATGCAAGAACCCTGCCATCATGAAATACTATTTCAATATTTTTTGCCATGGCTTTTTTGCCTTGTTTCCCTGGGTCTCTCTAGAAGAGACTGTCCTGTAGAGAACGGTCCAGACTGTTCCTGGACTGTCAGTTTGCTTGATGCCCTAGAGCAGTGGTTCTCAACCTTCCTAATGCCACGGCCCTTTAATACAGTTCCTATAGGTCTCGACCCACAGGCTGAGAACTGCTGCCCTGGAGAGTATAACCCAGGGCAATGAATAGTTAGGATTTGGACTGGATGAAAGGTATGACATCTTTCATGATGTGGAAGAGGGTGAGGATGACAGAGGGGTGGGAAGAAGGACACAGCAGACCACAGACTCCCTCAGAGGCACCAGTTCCAGGAAAACATACACACAATAGCTGAGGATCAGAAAATTGGTACCTTCACAACTGCCCACACCTATGGCCCTGGAAAGCTTTTGTGATTCCCAGGACACGTGTGGTCTGGGGGGAAGACACGCGTGGTCTGGGGGAAGGTACACGTGGTCTGGGGGGAAGACACACGTGGTCTGGGGGAAGACACACGTGGTCTGGGGGGAAGACACACGTGGTCTGGGGAAGACACACGTGGTCTAGGGGGAAGACACACGTGGTCGGGGGAAGACACACATGGTCTGGGGGGAAGACACACGTGGTCGGGGGAAGACACACATGGTCTGGGGGGAAGACATACGTGGTCTAGGGGGAAGACACAGATGGTCTGGGGAAGACACACGTGGTCTAGGGGGAAGACACACGTGGTCTGGGGGAAGACACACGTGGTCAGGGGGAAGACACACATGGTCTGGGGGGAAGACATACGTGGTCTAGGGGGAAGACACACATGGTCTGGGGAAGACACACGTGGTCTAGGGGGAAGACACATGTGGTCTGAGGGAAGACACGTGGTCTAGGGGGAAGACACACGTGGTCGGGGGAAGACACACATGGTGGGGGGAAGACATGTGGTCTGGGGGAAGACACACGTGGTCTGGGGAAGACACACGTGGTCTAGGGGGAAGACACACGTGGTCGGGGGAAGAGACACATGGTCGGGGAAGACATACGTGGTCTGGGGGAAGACACACATGGTCTGGGGAAGACACACGTGGTCTAGGGGGAAGACACACGTGGTCGGGGGGAAGACACACATGGTGGGGGGAAGACACACGTGGTCTGGGAGGAAGACACACGTGGTCGGGGGGAAGACACACGTGGTCTAGGGGGAAGACACACGTGGTCGGGGGGAAGACACGTGTGCTCCAGGGGAAGACACATGTGGTCCCGGGAGGAAGGACTGCCCAAGGCCAGGGGGTTGCCACAGGCTCCAGAGAAGGGCAGAGCAGGGTACTTTTTCCCCAAAGAGATAAGAAGCCAAAAAAAAAGAAGCAAACAATTAAAAAGACGTTGCACATTAATGTAATAGTATAACAAGTTAAATCTGCTAAGTGTCGAATATAAACGTCTTAACACAACAACTAAGAAAATGTGGTGAAGGCTATGTTAACCAGTTGGATAGAAGTATTTCAAATTGTATATAAAACCAGCACATTGTACCCCATAATTGCATTAATGTACACAGCTATGATTTAACAACAACAAAAAAAAGCATAATGAAACTTTAAAGCATATTCCTTTACAGTTTAGAAAACAAAAGCTTTCCTCACAAGAATGCTTAAGGAAGTGAGGCCTTGAAACCCGACTCCCTCAGCACCTCTGTTTGGATAAGAGTCCTGCTTTTCGGGTTTGTGACTCCAAGATCTCACCTGGGTTAAATCCTTCATTTACAGTGGTTCTGTTTCTTATTTGAACAGTAAGTTTTCCTTAGATGTCACACTTTAATGAACCACATGATAGGGAACAAGATGGAGACCCAGAAACAAAACACCAAGGGGACGTGGCCGATTTCACCACCTGGGATGTTAAGTTTAACACAGCTCAGCAACTATCTCAAGTGTTTTATCAACTCTTACGACACAAGCTAAGGTGTTGAAATATAAGGATGTGTGTTTTCTGAGAGGAAATGGGTGACAATTTGAAGGGTCGGTTTTTTAACATGAAGAATAAATACGTAAGAATTCAGAACAGATTCTCAACTGACACTAATCTGCAGTAAGGTTTGTGCAATTTAAGAAAGATTCTAAACTTTTAAAAAAATTTTTCAAGGAAATGTTTCCTGTTATTTCTGGAAAATCTGCAAATGTTAGTGTTTTAAAAGAGAAATATTACAGAGAGATATTAAGTGTGTTTAGATGCTACAAGTATCAGATGCTTGTTTATTCCATTTGCCTAAGAAACTTGGAATTCTGCTTTAAATGAATGACATGTGCTCTCAGTTAAGGTTTCCAGGTTTTAATTCTCGCAGGGCAGCAACCCATGGGAAGTACAGGGCTTCTAGGATTTTCTCCACCTACTTAAATAAATTTTTGGTAAAGATTTTCCTTTCTTGAACTCCCAGAATACACTTACACTGTCTAGATTAACTATCAATATTTTGGTCAAAGTCTGTGGGCTGCCTGTTTTATGGTGAACTGTTAGGATCTTTTTTTTTTTTTTTTTTGGAGACAGAGCCTCAGGCTGTCACCCTGGGTAGAGTGCCATGGCATCACAGCTCACAGCAACCTCCAACTCCTGGGCTCAAGCGAGTCTCCTGCCTCTGCCTCCCAAGTAGCTGGAACCACAGGCGCCTGCCACAATGCCCGGCCATATTTTGGTTGCAGACGTCACTGTTGTTTGGCAGGCCCAGGCTGGATTCAAACCTGCCACCTTAGGTGTATGTGGCTGGCGCCTTAGCCACTTGAGCCACAGGCATCAAGTCAACTGTTAGGATCTTTAAAGGTTTTGAACCAATGACAAAACTTTTAACTTCATACTACACGATTTTGTTACTTGCAGCAGAGGCAGCTTCCTCCACTGCAGAAATACGGTAAGTCTACTTGGCGGCTGGCGCTCAATATGAAGGAGGTACATGAGCAACTTTTCATGATTGTCCAATAAATACATTTAGGACCATGAGTTGAAGACAGAAACATCAGTACGCACATAAACATTTCTGTGCTTGCCAGAATCTCTTTCATAGCTAAGCACTACAATGACTGGGATGAAGTCAAGGCTGGGTATTTTCCAAGTAGTGAAAAATCAGCCAATATGTCACACTGGGAATTTGCCATGAAATCAATAGTGACTTTTGTTTTGTAGGGGGTAAACAGAAAAAAAAAAGAAAAAACAGAATAAAATCCAGTAATGGGAAGATGCTAAGAAGAAAAAGCAGTGGCCAGTGGGTCAGGACACGCCCAGCCTGCAGGTGTCTGCACTCACCTGAACAATGGGGTTCCACAAACGACACATCTATAGACGCCAGGCTCTTTGTGCTGTGTATACTCCCCTTCAAAGGCACTGATAAACGATAAACAGATCATTAAAAATAATTAAAGTTAGCATTATTTCTTATAGAAACTATTTCTTAAAACATATTTCTCTAATAAATCTCTCAAGGGCTTTTTGTCCTAAAATGAGAACAGACCAAACACATGGAAATCTGAACAATACTAATATATTTCAAATCTATGTAATAAAATGTGCATATAACTACTCCAAACCAGTGCAGGTTAAATAAAAAAAAATAAAAACCAAGCCATCTAGTTATATAATGCTGAGGAAAAAAAAAAAATCTTTCCTATTAAAAAATAAATCCTGTCGTTTAGATTCACAAGAAAAAAAAATTATTACAGAAGATTTTTGCTCCTTCACAGTGTCCAAGGGTGTACACCAGAAAATGCAGAAAGGTTGAAGACTTCAAGGGCAAGGAGTCTTTATTTTTTGGTTTGAAAAGGAATATTGCAGCTTTAAGGGAATATTTTTCTACGTTAACAATCTGAAAGGCTAGGAGGTCGCCAGCTAACACAAGTCAGCTGTGGGAGCCCAGCAGCCGGTCCGTGCGCTTGCAGCCTGCTTTTATTATCCTTTCACCCTCTTTATGAGGTCCAGTTTTTTTATAAACAGAATTTTTAAGAATGACCTAATCTCTGGTTGTTTGTGTGCATTAAATCATTTTGCTAGTCATGGACACAACAGGCTGGACAGAAGCCCTCCCGAGAGGAAGCTGAAGTCCCCTGCTAACTGGGATGGCGAGGGGGCCTCTGTCTCAGAGTGGACTTTGGGAGGTTCAGTGAGAGTGGAGCGCGGCGGGAAGGGAACGCTGCCTGGGAACAAGGGGCCATGTGTGGCAGAGAGCTCTCTCAGCTCATGAATGAGCAACAAGTTACATCATTAATAAATTCGGATCAGAGGTAAGTTACGGCCTTATGCCAAGCCCCGTGGTATAAATTAGACAACAAAATCATTGGACTCTGGCAATTTACCTTTGAGCTGGAATCAGCTGAGACTTTACTCACTAAAAACAGTCTTGGAAGTGAACAAACTCTTTCTTCAGGACTTAGGGCGAACTTCCAAGGACCAAAGCCATGTGAGGGCAGTTATTGAAAATTTTTGACATTCCAACCACAAATGAGCCAATAAATACTTTCTCCACATGTGCTTCAAAAAGAAATTGGAGTGGGGTAGAAAGGAACTAAATTATGCTACCTTCTTTTTGCAGCCAAAACGTCTACACTTACAATGGCCACCTTCAAAATTTCGGCGTCCTGGCATGGGGCCATGTCCCTCATGGTTTTGCTTACTGTGATGTCTTCCCAAAAAATGTACCTAAATCGCTATTACTTCCACACATTTTGTAGTAAACTAAAAACAGGCCCTTAACAAAAGCTTTGTGACTTTATATAAGATACGGAGTGTTCATTAAATGGGGCAAAGGACAAATAAAACATAGTCTTAACCTAAACAATACCATTTTCAACCTTTTCAAGGATACTAATTTGTAGACTTCAGCAAATAAGTGCAGAATTCTTAAAGTTAATTGGCAAAAAAGAGGATTCAATGGGGGGGGGGACTGGCCCTTGTGCAGGGGGGGCAGGGGGGACTGGCCCTTGTGCGGGGGAGGGGGGGGACTGGCCCTTGTGCACTGCCTTCCCCTTATAGCAGTTCCCTTACCTTTCTGTTCCTTTCTCCTGAGTGACATGGTACTGCAGGGGCGTGAGCCGCTTCCTCAGCTCCTGCTGGGGAAAGACCACCTTACAGCTCTTTTTATCCCTACATGACCCTGGAGAGAGAGAGGATATGGGGGAAGGAGGCTTTTTAGCTTGAATCCTAAATAATTGCTTTGGCTGGCGGCCACCGCACAGCTTCTGCAGTCCCTTGTCAATGACCGAACCAGTCCCTAACGCGCTAGAAAAGCTTACCTGAACTGCCGCCGCTGATTACTTCTCTAAGTTTAAAAGAATGTTTCTTAAGATCCAGGTGGTTCCACTGGAGAGGCGACAGTGTGTTGTTGCCAAAGTTTCTACATATGATAAGTATTTGCAAGCTATATGCTTTGTCTCTGAACACTCGGAAACCCCTTTTTGTTTGTTAAATGAATTTAAAAGCATAAGTCTATTTACAAACATTTACACTGTATATATAAGATGATGGCCATATTAAGTTTAACCATAATTCTCCAATAATTTTGCAACTTGGTAGGATAGTTTGAAACCATTATCATTCAATCTCCATTCTGGATGATTTAACTATTATCTTTTTCTTTTTTTTTGAGCCCTAAAGATGAAATGTTCCTATCACTAGGAATTACTGATTTTGTGATTCTATCAGACGCTTCACTAAGTTCTGTACAGTCCTTAAAAATAAATCCCTCTTTAAAGATTGTGTCTTGCCATGTTAAACAGGCAAGAAACTTTCAACAAACTACAGAAGGCGTTTACACTGACGCAGATGCAAAGGTTCCACAGAAAGACTAAGAAAAACAAAGGAAAAAACAAAAGGGAATGAGATTTTATTTAGAGGCCCACGTTTTCTTTTCGTAAAGTGTATCTAAGAAGCCTTCACTGATGAAGTGTATTTGAATGGTGAAATAATTTTAATGCGATTCTAGTAACAATAACAGCTTTTATTGCGACCTATACAGACCGCAGTAAGATGTTCAGACAACACGTTTATATGTAGTATTTTATTTTACCTGCACAAATGATGGAAAAGAAATATAACCCCAGGACAGGGTAGCCATTACTCACTGCAGTAAAACTGCTCCTCTTTGCACCCATCACGGTGGGAAGGAAGCTTGCAGGTGGTCCTGAACGTAAAGATTTCTTACCATGTTTTGAAGTTACTAAAAGAAAGCTTGCTTAGCTTCCTGAATATTTAATTCAACTTCTTTTGAAATATAAATATATATATGTGATATAGGAGTGGAAACGCTCTCAACTTGTTTTACTTTCGAGGTCCCTAGTGTCAGGTAGCATGTGAGATCACTGAAATTAAACCAGGAAAAAGTTAACCAGCCGGTTACTCTGGACTGTGGGACTGAAGAAGGCTTTCAGCTTCCAGAAGCCAGGCCGCCAAGACAGAGAGGCTGATTCGCTATAAGAGAACATGGGTCAGAAAGAGCAATCCAGGGCCAACAGAAGGGTGCTCCTGGAGCGGGCCTGCTGGGTGGCCAGCGGGACCTCTGCTGACCTTCCACCAAGTCCCTCGGCCCCGGCCTGGCCTGGAAAACCCACAGGAACAGTGCCACATCACTGACGGCATGCTGACCTCTCATCTCAACGGACCCCATACTGGGGCTAGGCCTCATCCAAATACTACTACTTGCATTTTTGCTATTTAAGAGGTAGGAGGAAATGTCTCCCTGAGAAATGTGTGTCCTGTCAGGACAAGCCTCTCAGTAGCTTGCACGCAGAATAGCTCTCTCTTAAATAATTAGTTGACTGTGATAGATGAGTTTCTATTCAACACACTGGAGACTTCTTAAAAGTTATAGTTTTGTTTTTATTCATTTATTTGTGGGAAGGGTGTGTCTTCAGCAGTTTTGTCCAAAAAAAATCCATTAATGGCAAACTTAACATGACGAAACATCTTGGTTAAAATCATTTTTTCCAATGGACAGATAATTAAAATCTGTACAATTAGCATTAAACAGTTCCATCCCAAATACTTTTGTTAATGTAAGTTCATTCATACAAAAAGGCCGATTGTGTTCCCAAAGTAGAGAGCACTAAGTCGCCCATCTGCATGTCATTTAGCCCGGGAGAGGCAACTGCAGGTTTAAATTACATGGTATTGGATTGCAATTTCCTAACATTGGATGCTTTTCTGCTTTTTTACCTTGAGTCATTTGCTAAGGAGTGTTCATAAAAAGTACCTTAAAGCACAGATGCTTGCAAACCATTTAGCCAAAGATGTTTCTCTCTTTTTTTTTCTCCATCTCTCAAAAAATCTCCCTTTTCTGAAGAAAAAGAATAAAACTGTTGGTCAGTATTGATGAACCATGTCAAGTATTTGTACAAGGAAAAAAGGTAAAATTGAAAACATCTGATTGAAGTAAATAATACAAACATAAAAGCTTTACTAGTGAATGAAGGGTATTGAAGCGACTTTATTTCATAGATTAGAAATTACTTTTGATCTAAACATTCTTAAAAACAGATTGTTTTCCACTATGAAACATCTCATTAACTGTGCTACAGAGACGGCGTTTTAATGGAGCCCTGACAAAGATGCCCTGTACCCCTTTGTCAGCCCGCGTCTTACTTGGGAGGGGAATAAAGATTTCATTCCCGCTTTCTTTGTTTGTCTTTCAAGAACCACTAAAGCAGTATTCACACACATCTTGCAGGAATGTGCCCTGTGTCGGGGCGACAAAGTATTTGGTTTTGGTGCACTTAAAGGTCATCTTCCAAATTAGCAAAATTTTTCTACATCCTGGCTTTTCAACCTTAAATATAAATATTGTTTCCTAACTGTAAGTGAAATTTGTTCTTTAAGAAATGCTAGTGATTATTTAAAGTTGTCAAACGTGGTACATTTTTACTCTTTGGTCACACAAGTTCTCAAAATAATTAGGCTTTTAAAGGACATCTGATGGCAAAAGGAAATATACGTAAACTAGTAGTAACTATTGTGATTCTACATGAAACAACTCAGGGGGATGTCAGTCGGATTTCTAATAAACGCCTTTTGCCACCCGGCTTAATGATAATATGCTCTCTGGAAATGCGAAAGCACACCAGCTCTTCCGTTATTAGAACAAAACGCGAAAACCCTCCCTTCCAGGTCTGATTCCCGGCCCCTACCAGACTCACTTTTGTAAAGTCACACGGTGCTGCTGTGGATAAAATAAAGAAATCATTTTATTTTGAAATTCTAGCGCAATTCACTGGATGGTTTCTCATTACTATCTTCACTTAGGTACTGTAATTTCCTTATTATGCAGTAATTTAATATTAGTACTACATGTCATCTGTTCAATGACCCCTAAACTGGCTTAGAAGTATGTTCAGAAAAGGTTTTTCCCCTTTACTTAAATGTTTAACAGTGTACTTTGAAGGCACAAGCCAGTGTTTGTGTATGCACATGCAACTCAAATATATTTGAGGGAATAATATTGCCATTTTGGAATCCAGTGATAACATCATTCCCTACAGAGTAACTCTGGTATAGACCAGATCTGCTTTGAACCCAATCCACAGGGTTTTCTTAATGAAATACATCCAAAGCCTCTTTTAACACAGGACCATGTTCTATCTTGTGGCCTCAATACTATTTTGAGACAATGTGACACTCCTGCTGTGAGTAGAGACCCAGTGAGAGTTCCCTTTCCAGCTCAGCTGCTTCTCAGCCACGTGACCCCACATCAGGCGGCCGTCCACATGCTACCAGCTCGCACTTCTGTGATGACCACAGACACCAGCACTCACCACTCTCTGAAGAAATGCAGCTTCATGTGGCCAGCCTGCGTCCAGTGAACTCTGAAGTTAGAAGCATATTTCACAAGGTAGACGTGTCAGGCATTTTAGTGGGCTGCAATGGTTTGCTGGTGATTGTTTTTCTTTTTTCTTTTTTTTAGGACAGAGTCTCACTTTGTCACCCTCAGTAGAGAGCTATGGTGTCACAGCTCACAGCAACCTCAAACTCTTGGGCATAAGCCATTTTCTTGCCTCAGCCTCCCACGCAGCTGGGACTACAGGCGCCTGTCACAAGGCCCGGCTATTTTGTTGTTGTTGTCATTGTTGTTTCGCAGGCCTGGGCTGGATTCAAATCCGCCAGCTCTGGTGTATGTGGCCAGCACCCTCGCCACTTCAGCTATAGGCGCCAAGCCTGGTGATTGTTTTTCTATAAAAATTCCCTCAGAACAGTATTTTCCTCACAAGTTATATTTGAAAGATGATTAAAATAGAAAATGAAGGAAGAAAATAAAACTAAAATGTGAGGTTAGCACATGTCTAGGCACTTTCACATAAATGCATTTAATCCTCTCAATAATTCTAGAAGGTCAATGTCATGCCCATTTTATAGATACAGAAACTGAGGGCTGGCAAAGTTACAAATTAGCTTACTGAGGTCAAACTGCAAACAGCTATGTCAGCTCAAACCCAAGGCTAAAGGACTACAAAATCCAGAGTCATTATATTCTCTCTCAGGAAAAATTATGTTACAACTTTCCTCTCAAATTATACAATAACTTTAAAAATGACCACTAACAACTTAAGATAACAATGGGGAAAAATAATATCCACCCAGTACATCTAGGAAAGTTAAATGTGTTTGTCTATTAGCTAGCGTGTCCCCCCTTCCTTCAACAGAATGACAAGTTTCATGAGATTCTCTTGAACTCTATAAAATGTTGAAAGGCTTTGTAACTTCCTGTTAAGAAGTAAATCAGATCTGTTACCTAAATCTCAGAGCACTTTTAAGTCATAAATTTTATATTTCAGTGTGAAAAATCAAAACAAAACAAAAACTAGAGATCCCATAACTTTATTATTCCAAGATCAGAAAAAATAAAACTATTAAATATTTTTCCAAGATAATAAATGATTAAGAGATAAGAACATATTGTTTTTCTTTGGATTTAACAGGTTAAAACACTAAAGTTCACATTGAAATATCCTGCAGCTATATTCAAAGATAGAATACTTTATTTTCACTATAAATTTTATTGGTTATTAATCTGTCATTGGAAAATTGAGCAAATTTTTATTCCAGACATAATAGCGTTAGAATGTCTAAATAAATGGGCATTTATAAAAGCCAAATCTAGTTCATTTT